CTTTGATAGTTCATCCATGTAGATGTTAAAAAGGTAAGGGGACAGTAAACTTCCCTGCCTTACTCCGTTACCAACATTAAATGAATCAGACATTGTGTTACCCCATTTGACATHCATCGATTGATGACCATACCAATAGACAAGAATTCTAATTAGATATTTGGGTAAACCTCTGCTTTCTAGCTTACAGAACAGTTTTTGGTGATTCACACGATCAAATGCTTTAGAAGCATCAATAATACACATAAATACTGTAGTGTTGTGCAAATTYTACYAGTCTAAAATCTCCTGTAGCGCAAAAATACACGTCTGTGCCATGTTTGGGTTTAAAACCGAAGTGATTATCAGAGGTCAAGACAAACTCTTCCAGCCTATTTAGTAGTACTCTTTCTAAAACCATCGACAAACTACTAGCTAAAGCTATGGGTCGGTAATTCTCCAAAGAGCTAATCTTACCCGCTTTGTCGTTAATAATGGGTACCAGAGTGACAGGGTAGCATTGATTTAGGTAACAGACCATGTACTAGACAGCCAGTGTTAAAATTTTTGTTTGTCCCTTTTTGACACTAAGAATGAAAAACGCTTTGTATTTTCATTTTAATTTCGGTATTTTAAAACAAAAATCAAATATCCACTCGTTTCTTGTCTTTTAATACCCGTTTCTAAAATGAAAATCCAATTATCAAAAGATACACTGACCGCGAGAGGTACCCTTCCAAGATGGCGGCCGCACTGATACGTCCGCTCCATCTAAGGTAGCGCCACAAGTACATAAACCCACAAATTTAGGTATGTTTTAGCGGCAAACTGTGCGCCCCCACCCTCAATACAACCACAAGCAGACATTGGTTTTATCTCTGTATTAGGTTTACAGTAAAAGCAAATATTCCGACACAAGAGCTAATATGAACTGTTATATTTAATGTAAGCTTACAGACGTTAGCTAACGTTAGCCACGTAGTTACCGATTAACATAGCAAGAGAGCCAAGTCAGAAGACAGACGATTCCTGGTCAAAGAAGTGAATAAATACATAATTTATCCAACCAACTCACATTTCCAACTCATGGTTACCTTGGCTTTGATAGCTTGGAAAACCACCACCAAACAGCTCAACGACTTTTCTTGCGCGCATGGGGGGGAGGGGGGAGGGGGGGCACCATGACGGTAAACTTTACCTACTTACCAGAGTTCGTCCCGGAGTTTTACTTGGTTCCTGCTCCGGAACGGATTCTGTTGTACACAGCCAAACAGTTAAGCTGCGTCTAAACGTGTTTTAAGGTGTCCCAAACTCATACAGCAACCTGACCACTGACTTTAGCTAACATCTGGCCCGCCGCGTGCGCCAAACGTTTTTTCCCCCTCCCTTCTTCTTCCGGTTTTGTATTTGGCGGTTGGCAAACAACTTTTCGGTGCATTACTGCCACCTTGTGAATTGGAAAATAGATGATAGATAGATAGATAGATAGATAGATAGATAGATAGATAGATAGATAGATAGATAGATAGATAGATAGATAGATA